ACCTATTGCATGCCAAGATAGATTGCATGTATATCTTCATTTAAGATGTATGATGTGGATATATGATTACTCATGCTCTTGTTAAATTCAACATGTAAGCCTTGTTTGGTAAAGTTTCTACTTTTATCTTTTTTAAAATTATGAACGAAAATTTATGTAGTATATTATTTTTGTTTTAAAAATATTGGAATTGATTTCAATATTTTCAAAAATTTTGAAAAAGAAAAAATGTGTTTTTATTTTTTAAAAATAATTTTTTACTTTTTTTTTTTTTTTTTTTTTCTGGGTCGTCATTCACCATTGCCACTAGTCATCTCCACCATAGCCAAAGGCCACAAGGAACATTTCAGTAGCTCCAATAAGTTATAGCCACCTTTCACAACTCTTTGACTCGCTTTAGTGATTAAACAGTCCACCACTTGTTAATCTGGTTGGCCACCTCTATTTGATTTCCAATGACATTTCGAACATCAAACTCCAATAGCCACCTCTACGTCTATCCCCATGGTAGGTCACCACCTTTCAACTTACCAAACATTTTTATTTATTCTTGCTTTTTTGTTTATTTTCAAACTTTGTAATATAAACATGTATTAGTTTTTTTAACAACAAGTGAAACCCCGTATTATTTAATTGGTTTATATAATAAAATAATATATAATTATTCATTAATAGGTTGAATTTTAATATTCTATAATATTTTTATACTAAAAATTTATTTCAAAACAAAATAAAATAAAAATATATGTGACTTTCTATATTAATTACTCAATATTAATTTCAAGCCGCTATGTATTTTTATTATATTTTTCTCTATATATTTTTTGTAATCAAATTACACTGAACTTAATATTTCTGTACTAAAACCCAATCAAAAAACATAGAGCTTGCTCCCCAAGTTTTCTCAACTTTCCACCGTTCAACGTGTAATCATCTTATGTATGTAAAAAAAAAAAAACAAAACGTGGTGGACATGCTTTGATGGCCATAACACCAAGTGGTTCAACTTACATACCACCTAGCTGTTCAATTTCTCATTTTTATTATTTTCATCTTCCTCATTTTTGCCCATAAATTGAAGAGCCCAAGTCTTCCTCACCTGCTCTTCAATCCAATTTCAATCTCTCTCGGTTCCCTTCCCTCCACCTCTCATTCTCAAAACTCTTTTTCTCCTTCTTTATCTATAAGCTTTTCCGTCCTTCCCCCGACCGTCCATAGCCATGCCTTCAAACCCATACTATCACCATCCGAAACCACCAACTCCGGGAACTTCCACCACCATTGGCGCACCGTCGGACCAGCCACCAACCACCAATCACCTATTTCCATTATCATCTAGAACCACCATTCACAAAGTGTTGTTAGGTGAAGAAAGAGAAGAAGAAAGGAAGATGGAGGAGAAAGAGAGCAAAGTTAGAGAAGTTTTATTTGAAGTTCAAAAGTTGGTTTTCGGCTACTTGTCGGCATGCCAAAGCCATCCAATTCCAGGAAGAAGTGAACAAAATAGGCCTGTAAGATGTAAGTTACGAAGTAAGTTGAAGAGATTGGCGAAAGAATGAAGTAAACCGTAAGAATAAGCAAAGTTATGGGGTCCGGGAAAGATGGTTCGAAGAAATATCCGAGATGGCTAGGAAAAAAAATCTTAATTTTGGTTTTGGTTCAACTTCTAGAGATCCGGACGGCATTGCAAAAAAGAGATGGAACAAGGCGTCTCTGGAGTAGTGAACCAAAAACTAGGGCTCGATGAGGAATCCAATGACAGAAAAATAAGATAAAACGGAGTTACGATGAAGAAGATACAAGCATTTTGAACTAGGTTGACATGGTGAAACTAAAATTCTGGGTCTCTCTGTCATGCATTGCTCTGGGGCTGTTGCGGAGAAGATTGAACTAAATTTCATTTAATGTTGGTGCTACGGTGCATCCTAATACTTTTAGGTTAATCGAGTGGTCCTATGACTTTGGGGATGACCACCCCTAGGTTTTTCGACGTGTAGAATCCATTTCTGGGGTTAGATCTTTCAAATTCTAAGTCTAAGATGATGATCAACAACTAAAGGTTCTAAGAGAATCCAATGAAAGATCAACGGTGAGATCGTGTCCGATTAATGTGAAATTTCAGCAAGACGATCATGGAGCCAAGACGGTCATATCTTACGATCAGAATTATAAATCAAATTCAGACGATAAATCGCTAGCAACCTAACATAGTAAGAAAACCCTTTCAACCCTCTCATTTTTTTTATATTTTTGAAATTTTCAAATTATATACATATGATAAAATGTCTAAACTTGTAGATAGAATTTTATTTATAATTGTATGAAAATTATGATGGTACATCAAATTTGAACTTGCATGTGTAGTTTATGCCATTAGAAAGATTATTGAAGATGTTATTTGGCCCTTTAAATCTGCCAGAAAGTTGTACTAATTTTTAGACAATTTTATACTCAAAATTTGAAGATGATTTCTTCTACAAAGTTGTTGATAATGATGTCTAGTTCATTCACAAAATTTTTCAAAAATTATTGAGTTTTGTACGAATTTATACAGATTTTTAACCAAATCTGGAGCTATAGACAGATTTTATTATGTGTTTGAAAAATCATTAAAAAATTTTATATTGAACCAAATCTGATAATTTCTAAGCAAAAAATGAAATTTGAGAAGTCTAGTTTCATAATAAATTTTTAGATCATGAAATTTATTTATAAAATTTAAGTATGGAATTAATTTAAGGAAATGTGATAAATCTGTGTCATAAAATTTCTGGGAATTTTACAGAATTATTTATAACTTATTTTTGGGAATTTATTTCTGAAAAATGACCCAAACATATTTATTAAATATTCTGTACATTTTCACGAATTTTAGAACTGTATAAATAATTTATTTATAATTTTTATTACCTAAAGTATGACTCCAATTATTTATTCGGATAAAAATCAGTTATTGTGTTGGTCCAATTCATCAAATATAGTAAATTAATAATCCAAGTATGGGTGTATTGTGGTTTATTTAATATTGTGGTAGTCTAATCTTGTAAATTAAAAATCCATGCACGTGTGTGACTTTGGTTTATTTTCTTTGTATCTAAATTATTATTTCATACCATGGTTTAAATAAATTGTTTATTTAAATGTTGTACATTTATTTATTATTGTGTGACATGTGTAATATTTTATATTGGGAATTTTAATGAGTTGGTATAACATCAATTGTGATTAAAAATTGGAATTATTTGTGAGTAATATCAAAATTAACTGAAATTATTAACGGCATATAAAAAGTTAACAATTGACGGTTAATACCAGTTGTTCGGGGTGAGTCTTGGTTTAAAGACTGTACGGAATTAAGGGTTGACGGTTAACACCGGTTGTTTCAGGGTGAGCCCTGGTTTTGAGAATTCTCACATAAATTGTGTTGCGAAACTCTAAGATGGCACGGGACTTATTTGAACCCTTTTCGGTATTCGGTTTTGGAATAAGGGTGGATGTGCAGGTGGCACACATGGAGGTTACTTACCCCTGGCAGACCGTTTCCTTGGGGCAGACCACGGATGCCACTACTTGGGTATATAACTCCGGACGTGGGCATCCCTGGTAGTTACGGTTGGTAACACTTAAATATTTGACCAAGGGAGGGTTTCAAATTAACCGTTGCCATGCTTAGTGGTTGGAAAGTTAAATCTCTTTGGTGAGATTTTGAGTGTCACCTAATTTATTAAAATTACTGAAATCATTCTAATGATTGTAATTTCTGTGTATAATTATATTGTTATCTCATGTTTAGAATATTATTATTTTTCTCTTAAAAAGAATGGTAGGTTGGTTATGTTTTCTTACTATGTTGCAAAACTCATGGCATATATTTTTGTTGCCCTGGCGTTTTATGCTAGGTCTTGGCGAGAGAATAATTGAAGCTGAAATGGAGTCGACGCTAATGTAGAGCCTTGGCTGACCAGAAACCCCGAGTAGAGCCAAATAAATTATATTATTTTATATAATAGCTATTAAGGACTTTATAATTTCATCTGATGTTGTATTTGGAAAATTTTAAGGTTTTTATCTATTGTTATTTGGACATTTGGTTATGTACGAGAGTTGGATTACCCTATTAAGATGTCAACTTTTTAGTTTATTAAGTCATTTTGTTTATTTAATTTCCCTTTACCAAACATTTTTTGCTTCTGTTTATTTTCAAAACTTTTGTATATAAACATGTTTATTATTTTTTTAACAACAACAACAACAACAACAAAAATAAAAACAAAAACTTATTTTCTATTATGTAAGCATTAAAAAAAAAAAAACAAACTAACCATGTTGTCAAACCACACGTAAATAGACGGACTCAATTTTTCAAAGAATAATTACATTTAAAATTTGAAATTTCATGCTGTTAATGTCATATCCAAAATTTTGATATCATATACTTTTACATAGGGGTATCTTTGTCTTCTTATACTTCTATAATGAAGAAGTACTGGAAAAATCCTATTTGCACATCATTAATTGTCTTAATACACACCACTTACTTGGTTCATACCACTCACAATTTGAATTTATTAATTTTTTTTTCTTAATTCCCAAAATTATTTTTGAAATAATACCAAGCGACTCTCATCATTTCCTATTTCAAATCTTAACCCTAGCCCTAGTCACCACCCACTGTCACTGCCTCCATCATCTTTGTCACCCTATTCTACTATTGTTGTCCCTCTCAGTTTCCTTCGCAGCCCATCAACTCTTTCAGTCACTATTACATTCAACTTCATGAATTAATATCTTTATTTCTCTTTCTCGTGTGCGCACAGGCTACGAGTTGGGGTTGTAGGAGGTGGTACATTGCGAGGCTGAAGAGTTGAGGGGTTGTGTAATGCCCCTTTTTTTATTACTCGAATAACAGTACAAATATTCATTAATTAAGTCCCTTTACAAACGACAATTTATCTTTTGATGAATTAATGAATAAATAAATATACATGTTCCATCTCTTTACACAACAGTGTCATTTACATACAAATAAAATAAATGCCCTGAGGCTTACATCCATATTACATACAAGGAAAAAAAAATACTGATCTCTGAACTACAAGTATATTTTACAACCTCAAAATAAAATCATAAGACTGCACAAGAAAGAAATTTCATGTCCCGATATTTGAAATCTTTAGTTACCTGTGAAGTTAATCAACGTGGGATGAGCACTAATATTCAGTAGGAATCTCATAGTTCTAAAACAATAACTAACACATAGGCAGAAATGATCATGCATGCAGGGTTATACTATATAGTAAGGTAATGCTTTGTATGCCTGTAGACACCCCATTTTTGACCGACTTTAAGACTCGGACGTCACCGATTGAGCGCTCGATGATTGCGCATGTTGTGCTCGTTTCGAGGTTTCGGAGTTCTTGGTTGAGAGCCTCACCTCCGGACCTCGGGACTCTTTGTACTTTGACTCGGTCTGCGGACTAAGTCTTGTTTTCTCTTCTCGGAGGGAGGGAGAGGTCTGGTAGACCATCTCTCAGTGGTCGTAGACTACTTTTCGTAGTCATAGGCCACTGTTCCTGTTTGGAGACTAGTTTTCGATTTTCGGAGCCGTCGGCCAGGCACCTCGGTTCGGGACCACTTAACATTCTCTGTTTGGCACGTTTTTTGGAACACATCTTGTTTCCTCTGTCTAGAGGGACACTGTGGTCCGGGAGACCACTTTTGTGGTCATAGGCCACTTTTTGTGCTTAACAGCCAGTTTTCGAGGCCCCCGATAGTGCGTCTTGCCTCTCGAACTCTCGTTTTGCATCTGTTTTGGTTTGTCTTGGGTACAAACCTTGCTTTCCTTGTTTGGGAAATGGTACAAGGGTGGGAGACCACTTTTTCTCCTTGAAAACCAGCTTTTTCTCCTTGGAGACCGCTTTTTCTCCTTGGAGACCACTTTTCTCCCCGCCAGCCGGTTTTCTGGTCGGGAAATTGGTCTCTTTGGTCTTTGGGCCACATTTGCTGGTCTCCCACCACACCACTAGTTTTCTTTTAGTGTGGAGACCACCAATTACCCCTGGAAACTAGCTTTTATCCTTGGAGACCATTTTTCTCCCTGCTAGCCGATTTTCTGGTCGGGAAACTGGTCTCCTTGGTCTTTGGGCCACATTTGTTGGTTTTCCACCACACCACTGGCTTTCTTTCAGTGTGGAGACCACCAATTATCCTTGGAAACCAGCTTTTATCCCTGGAGACTACTTTTCTCCCTGCCAGCGATTTTCTGGTTAGGAAACTGGTCTCCTTAGTCTTTGGGCCACATTTGCTGGTCTCTCACCACAGCACTGGCTTTCTTTCAGTGTGGAGACCACCAATTACTCTTGGAGACCACTTTTTTTTCCGGCCGACCAGAAAAAGTGACTGGCCGACCACTTTCTCATGAAAAGTGGTCGGTCGACCAGTAAAAGTGGTGGGCCGACCACTTTAATTGGTCGGTGGCCTTCCTGCATATTCTATAGGTGTTGTGGATGCCAGCTGTGCCAGCTGGAGTGCATAGATTGCATCCTCCATACACGTTGCATCTAGCTTCAAACTTCTTCAACAAGCTTGGTGCGTGTTGCTCTATAAGAGAAAAGGCTCCCTCTCTTGTCTGAGGCTCAGAAATTTGTCTAAGGCAAAAATATATATCTCCCTCTATATCTTTCTATTTTAGCTCAAAGTGTGCATTGTTCTTGACCTATTGCACCACACCTCATAACCACACACCTCTACCATTGATCTGAGGTTCTTGGAGGGTATTTTCAGAGGTTGAAGGGTTGGCTTTTGGTCCCAAAAGTTGCTGGTTTTGCTAAGCTTCAAGGGTAACTCCTTTTCCCTCTTTTTAAGCTCTATCTTGCTCATTCTCTTAGCCATACTTGCATGCATATTTAGGCTTTGTTGTCAACTGAAAAAAGCTTCATATTTAAGTGTTTTTCATGTTTGTTTAAGGTTCTTTTGGTATTGAGGGTCATCTACTGTAATACCCCTGTCCCGTAATATGTTAATTGGTCCTTAATAAGATGTGATTATGTGTTTGTTATGGTTTTGTATGCCATTATGTGAAAATATGTGGTTTTGAATTTCTATCTGTTCACCGTAGGAATATCTGTTTGATTTTACCACTTCGGAAATTAAATTGGAGGCCTTATCGGCCACAGAACCCGAAATTGATTACGCCATTGTGGTCGGCATAATTTTTAGAGCCTACGGTGAAATTTAATTAGAAATTGATTCGGGTCAGATTAAGTTGATTAAATTGATAATTTAGTGCCCAATTGTTTATTATTATTATTTTGGAATAGTGGGGTTTGATGTAAAAGGGCACTACACCCTCAATTCCTTCCCTTATGTGGCTTTGGCTGATTAAACTCTTATCAAAGTGACATGTCATTCTTGCATGTATTGATCATATTTCAGTGGGTTTTTGGTCATCATTTGGCATGCCATGACTCTATTTTTGGTTGGTTTGGTAGCCTCTCACATGCTTCATATGCTTGTAGTGTAAATCATGTTTACTAGCTTAGAATGCATGTTGTTTTGGCCCTTTATTCTAGCATATTTTGGCCATGATCCAAATTGATTTTGTTCATATTTTGGGCTGCCTTAGCTCCACTTTAAGGCCTCTTGGTTGAAAGATGCTTGCCATGTACACTTGTAGTGTAAATCCCTTAAACTAGCTTTATATGCTTCATGCCTTGACATGTCATTCTAGCTTATTTTCTTCCCATTTCAGCATGTTTTTGGTGATGTTTTACCATGTCATGATTCTGTTTTGGTTTGGTTTGGTTAGCCTTTGCATGCTCCATGCACTTGCCATGCAATCCCATGAAATAGCCTAACATGCATCATGTTGGCACATGTCTTTGTAGCATGCTTTTGGCTTGACTTCAAGAAGACTTTGTTCATGTTTTTTTCATGTTTAAGGTCTGATTTTGGTTGTCTTGGTCATCCATGACTTTCTTTGTATAGCTTTGGTTCAACCTAGCTTGTTTGCTTTGTGCATCGGGTCCACTAGCATGCATTACTTGGCTCATTTCAATGATTTGACATCATTAGTTATATTATTTCAGTCCATGTTTCATGGCCGTGCACTTGTATTTGTCACTCAATCAATGCATTGGAGGATTCCCCTTTTATGCCTTAACATGAGCTATTGTGTATGCATTCATGCCTTTTCTTGCGAACCATCATTTCAGTGCTTATTTGGGGTTATTTTGCCATTATATAACTCTAATTTTTGTTGGTGGAGTCATCCCATGCTTGGTCCTAATAGGTGCAGTGTAATCCACCTTATTTGCCTTGTATGCATTATGCCTCATGCCCCTCATGCTAGCACATTTTGGCTTCCATCCATACATGTTTTAGTCTCATATTAACATGTACTAGGACTGTTTTTGGTTGCCTTAATCACATGCTTCATGTTTTGTATACCTGTAGTGTAAATGCTCTTGCTTGCCTCAAGCTTTGAGCACCATTGCATGCTTTATTTGTGTTGTGTACTTGATTTGACATCACTTAACATCACATTTCAGAACATATAGACTTGCCATGTTCTCATTTCATCATGTTTTGAATGCCTTTGATGGTTATGCATTGTTGCCTAGTTCATGCCTTAGTGTGTATGCTTGCATGCCTAGGACTTTAGGCCCTCATCTTAGCACATTTTGGTCTTTGTTATGACCTATTTCAACTCTGTCCATGCTTAGTTCATGCATATTTGCCATGCATTGCATGCCTCATGTGTAGTCCTCTTTGATAGCTCTCATGCCTTAGGACCCGTGCATGCTCTACTTGCTTTGTTTGAATGATTTGGCATCATTTCTTACTTAATTTCAGTGCACTTAGTGTCTTTACACTTGCACATTTGTTACTCTTTGAGCACTCTTGAGAGTTGTACTCTTGGGCCTCTTGTATTGGCCAATGCATTGTGCATGCATGCTTTGTATTTTGTGCCTTCATTTCATCCCATTGGCCACTGATTTGGGTGTAGTTGAGGCCCATCCATTTTGGTTTAAGTCCATTTTGCATTGAGTATGCAATTGTAGTTCATAGCATTGAGTATGCCATGTTGTCTCATGATTGATCATTGCATTGTGCATGCCTAGTTCATCTCATTGTGTATGCTAGTTTCTACGTGCATTGTGTATGCTAAGTGTCATGTGCATTGAGTATGCCATTGTTAGTTCATAGCATTGTGTATGCTAGTTGCATGTTTGCATGTTATCCTTTGCATGTTTGCATCACTTAGTTGCATTGCATTAGGATTACATGCTAGAGTTGCATTTGTGCATGCCATGCTTGTTGCATTGTGTTTGGGATAGGAGTTAGTCCAAACACGGGAAACGAAGGACGTCTCGTACTCAAAGTGACGAAACGTGCCTTGATTCCCGGTTGCCGACATTCTTGACTACCCATGATGGAGTTGTTGGCTTTAGGTGCTTGTATGTGCATTCATTTCACATTGAGTCGTGCAATTCGGCTCCTCGGCCATCATGCATCGAAATGCCTGACTGGTGGCCTGAGGGTCGAGGACTACACTCCCTTGAGCTTATGCAATGATGAGGAGAGTGGTCGTGCACACATGTGTTGCAAATACTTTGCCGTGCATCTCTCTTACCCTTTGTTACAGAAAACCAGAAACCAGGAGAGGAAACTGGTCGGCCGACCAGATTTACTGGCAGGCCAATCACCGACCACTTTTTTTGGTTTCCACCACAAAAGGTGGTCGGTAGTTGGTCTCCTATGCCTATAAGCTGGTCGGCAGCCTTCCCACAGATTCCTAGGGTGGAGTCTCATCTCTCTGGAACTTTGTGCAAGTTTCTGAGATCAATTGCAAACAAAGGCAAGTCGGGGCGTCGCAAGGGATTTCCGAGCAAGGCAATTCGAGCATGTTTGCATCCTTCATCATCCGAGGCAGAGCTAAGGCAGCCCACTTCACATAGTTTGCATGCTTATTTAATTGCTAATTTAGTTGATTTGTTAACTAGTTATGTTGTGTAATATTTAGCTGTAACTTGTTATTCATTCTGTTGTGTAATAACTAGTTTAATTAGAGTAGCTTAGATTAGCTAGTTGGTTCTGTACTATTTATTCGGACCCTCCGTCGAGAGGGCGAATTTTGTAATAAGTGTGCGTGTGTGTGATGCATGTCTTCCAACCCCACGTCTTTCTCCATTTTATTTACCAGCTTATGATGGTTAATCTTAGGGCATGTTTCAATTAGCATCCTTAAGCTCGCATGTTTGCATCCATTCATCTGTCTTGCATGCACCGGGCTCGACGCATCATACTAACTGCATTGTATTTCAATTCCAAGTTGAATACATGTTATCTGTAGCATCTCATATGCCATGTTAGAATAGCTGAGCCTATCTTAGTTGCATTTTGCATGTGTTGCATTAGCCATCTTAACATGAACTAGGATCATGCATTGATTACTAACTAGTTTCTGTTTTGGCTTGGAGTACTCGATGAGTGTTTATACTTTAGCATCCTTGCATGTGTGTGAGTGACTGCCATGATAGCATGCTTGCCATGAGGCTAACCGCTTATGTGATATACCTGCCTGAATGCTTGTGGGTGAAGGTTGGATTATTTAAATTGGAACAATTCATCGATTGCGAGTTTTAAGCCCACTTGAGAGTGGCAAATCACCATGTTTTCTAAGCCCACTTGAGGGTGGCAAAATCCGCATTTTAGCCTACTTGCGAGTAGCAAACCGCTTTCAAAAAAACAAACATGAGATGTTTTGTTCCAACTTAGGCGATCCAGTCTATATTTGTATGCTGTGTGCATCACGTAGTAATTCTAGGCTAATAAACTGGAATAAGAACGCATGTGTTTTCAAAAACAAGATATCATGTTTAGTAAAGGCAGATCTTTGATCGGGCGAGCGGGGGTGCTCATTGCATGACCTTCCCCAATCGTACCCAAGTTCCCGAGCCGAGGCAACTTTGGTGATGACAGACACGTGGCCTTAGGCACGAGTCAGGGTTTCCTAAATTCCCCAAAAATAAAATATTTAGGTAGCGACTCTGTATCTGGCAAAGCAGTCTATGTTTGACACTTCTTTCTAAAAATCAGTTTTTCAAAACGATTTGCCGGATTTGGACTCTTTGGTGATTTATCAATCTCGTATTGCACTTTGCGAGATCAGATTAAGAACCGTGACATTGAGTCCGAGCTGTAGTGAGCCCAATGAACAAAACGGGATTTTTTTCGGGACGTTTGGGCGCGTCTACAATGCCCAAAATATTATAAGTAAAGTATCATTTTCTCAAAATTCATTTGAACATTTAAGGAAACTTTCTGCCATAAATATTATCTTTCATGATCAGAAAAATCATAAGTCTTCTTTGAAAACAAGTATACTTAAGAAACAACATCCTTTTAAATTTATTAATCCAATTCCAAAACATTCTACATTTCATTTCCATTTTACAATTCAAAAATATTATAACCCTATAACCTTAAAGTCCAAGTTCCCCTTATATTCAAAGACAACCGTCGTACACTCGATTTTCACTTATCTATCTGTTACATGACATCAACATTTCTATCATCACTAGTAATTCAACTTAAACCAAGGATATAAACCCCTTCCAATTTAATTTCTCAAATATTTACAATTGATTTCAAATCCCTTTTCCAAATAAATATTTGTTTTCAATTTATGAAATAAATCCTCAACCTATTTGAAAACCCACTTTAGACCAAAATTTTGAATTTAGGATTTTTAAGAAGACTCATCATTTATAAGATTAGAGGATCCACTCCTCATAAAATCATTCTTCACAAATTCACAAAAGATTCTTCCTTTTTACTTAAACTTCCAACCCAATTATACCACAGTTACCATAAATCCAAAATCCTTAACTTAAATTGATATTAGTATTATTCACAAAATAAAACTCACAATCTTCACTTATGGTCACAAAACAACCCGATTAGTTCGTCATCATCAACCCCTTACCCTATTACCATTGCATTTTTCATTTTTTTCAAATAATTTCTATATTCATTTCTCCTCTATACAAAATCACACAACACATTGTAATTTCATAAGTTCATTATGAGTCATACACATTATCTCCGACTCAATACATTTCTCAATACGTTCCAACTTTTGCCGGCTTGATATAGTGGGATAATGGGCACCTAACTCACAACACCTTCCACCTTTTGCTAGCTTGATATGGCGCGAGATAGTGGGCACCCAAAAATATTTTATACAATCCTCACATTTACCGACTATTACACGACAGGACGTGAGCACCCAAAAACATTTAATACAATCCCCACATTTACTGACTATTATACGACAGGACATGGGCACCCGAAAACATTTAATACAATCCCCCACATTTACCGATTATTATACAGCAGGACATGAGAACCCAAAATTATCCATTTTTTCACTTTTGCCGACTATTATACGACAGGACCAGTGGAAGCCCAAAAATATTTTTCCACATTCGTCTGGCAATAAACTCAAACAGGGCAATTAGGCACCTTGAGTCCCCGCGTGGGTACCATTTACAACACAACTCAACTCAATACAACACAACTCAGCATAACTCAATGCATTTCTTAAATCTCCATTTTATCATTTTATCACAAATCTCATATCATTAATACAATTCACAAATTTAAAATCCCCAAACTCAATCTTATCTCACAGCACAACTTGCAATATCAAAAACAGGAGTTCACTCGCTATTTTGTTACATGGATTTTTTCAAACATTTTTGAAATTCAATTAAACATGGATATGTGCAATTTAATACCTCAACTTTATGAAGCCACTTTAAATTTAAGCAAAATCATTAACCATCTTTATGAGCCAAACTAGGGTTTTGGAAAAATTGAAGCTTTTCACAAAAATATTTTTTTTATTCCAACTCTTTTATTCATCATTCACCCAAAATCATAACCCAACCCAAAAAGGTAAACCCCAGAACATCAAACCCAAACCCCTAATCTCATGACTTATCACAAAATGCATAAAAGATAAATTTGGTATAAGGAAAATACCACAAATCTATCCATAAATAAAAGTATTGAAAGAGAACTAGAAATCCCTACCTTAAAAGAAAAAAAGATGTGAAAACCTCTAAACAGTCGGCTCAACGCTCGTTGCAAGACCTACATATCACACATAACATGTACTTTAAGACTTAGAACATAAACGATGCAACAAATGGCTTAAACCTAACTTCAACCTTACACCTAGCTCAAAACATTGCTAACATGCTCTTAGAGTGCTAAAATGCAAGTTCTAGATGTCCTGAGGGGTCCCATATGTAAGAAAACATGAAAAACATGATCAATTGAAAACTTAATCCATGAATCAAGCCTAATTGAATGATTTTGCTTCGTAAATTTGAATATAAAACTCATCTGCAAAATAATCTTCTCAAACTCAAATTAACCAACCTCAATAAAGTTCCAAAGCTCCAAAAATAAGTAAAATAGATTCATTTGAGAGAATAATTCAAGATTCAAAACAATCTCCAAGTTTTCTGATTCGTAAATTTAACATGAAAACTCATCTTTAAAAATCATCAACAATTGGAAAAATTGAAGCTTTTCACTAAAATATTTTTTTTATTCCAACTTTTCTATTCATCATTCACCCAAAATCATAACCCAACCCAAAAAGGTAAACCCCAGAACATCAAACCCAAACCCCTAATCTCATGACTTATCATAAAATGCATAAAAGATAAATTTGGTATAAGGAAAATACCACAAATCTATCCATAAATAAAAGTATTGAAAGAGAACTAGAAATCCCTACCTTAAAAGAAAAAAAGATGTGAAAACCTCTAAACAGTTGGCTCAACGCTCGTTGCAAGACCTACATATCACACATAACATGTACTTGAAGACTTAGAACATAAACGATGCAACAAATGGCTTAAACCTAACTTCAACCTCACACCTAGCTCAAAACATTGCTAACATGCTCTTAGAGTGCTAAAATGCAAGTTCTAGATGTCCTGAGGGGTCCCATATGTAAGAAAACATGAAAAACATGGTCAATTGAAAACTTAATCCATGAATCAAGCCTAATTGAATGATTTTGCTTCGTAAATTTGAATATAAAACTCATCTCCAAAATAATCTTCTCAAACTCAAATTAACCAACCTCAATAAAGTTCCAATGCTCCAAAGCTTCAAAAATAAGTAAAATAGCTTCATTTGAGAGAATAATTCAAGATTCAAAACAATCTCCAAGTTTTCTGATTCATAAATTTAACATGAAAACTCATCTTTAAAAATCATTAACAAACTTCAAATTCCTTTCATAAAATGAGTCATAAGGTTCTAAGAACATGCTAGATAACATCAATTGAAAGTTTTATTCAAGATTCAAAAGAAAAACAAATTTTCAAAATTTCTTATTTTCTATTTTAAATATGATGAAACTTTCTTGAATCTTCAAATACACATGCAATTGATCTTACAAAACAAGATTGATACATGATTTCTCTCATAAAATCATGAAAAATGCTTGAATACAAGGATGAAACACAAGATAGATGCACGAGCTCATTAATCTCAAACCCTAGATTGCAAAATTCCATGAACTTCTCTACAAAAACCCAAAATAAAAGTCCTAGCATGTGAATCCATGCAAAACAAGATCAAAACATGAAAAAGATGGAGAAATCTTACCTAAAGTTATTCAATTGATGAGTTCCTTGATGATTTCCTCAATTTTCCCTTCATTTCTATACTTTCCTTCTTGGGTTCTTCTTTGAGCTCAATTCTCTTCTTCTCTTTTTGTTCCAGCAGCTCTGTGTGTATGTGTGTGTGCGTGTGTGTGTGTGTTGTTTTCCCCAAAGCAACAATGACTTCAACTCTTTAACTCTTAACATATACACACACATATAATTCTTAGCACATCCACAAAATTGCTCGATACACCTACACCCCCATACATCCTCAATTCTAGATTTTTCCATAGTTCAATTTATGTTTAAGATTAATTTAATTAAGCAACAATTAATCTTAATAAATCTTGATTAGCACATAATTAAATTAATCATAACTAATCACAAATCTCACATAATTTAATTAGTCAAATTGACTTCCATTAGAGCCTAACTGATTATTTTTACATTTATCAATTTGAATCAGATCTTAAATCGAACTCTCAAAGAGCCTCAAAATATCAAATTAACTTATTATCATCATCAATTTTGATTTTCCAAATCTTTAAGACCCTCAATTTCAGATCAAACTCAAAATCTCCGTCAATAACTTACATACTCAAATTGAACACTTCATAAATAAATTTAATTCATAATAATCTTAATTCCCAATCCTCATAACTTAATTAACTTCAATTCAGACCCAATTGATCAAATCTTAATTTTACCAAATTGAATCAAATATTTAATTAAACTCACATATGGTCTAATACTCAAAACTGAACCAATTCAAGTCGTCAATTTCACATTCTTTAGCCATTTAGGCTTTCAATTTCTAATTCCAAAATAAATCCTTGATCAAATCATATACGAATCAGACTGAATAATTCTCGTAACTTCCAAATTAAATTAGAATAATGACTAAGTAAAATCTGAATCTCCTGAATTAATTAAATGCCAAATATTATACATGACGAGGTTGTCACATGTTGTGTGTCGAACAAGTATGGAACTATGAGGGGTTATATATCTCAGGAATGCAGGAGCTGTGAGGGTGGTGGCTCGCCAGCGATGAAGTTGCAATGATGGTGGTTGCAGGGTGATAAAGCAACAACTAAGTTGGGGGTGGCGGAGGAGGGAGGGGGTTTTGGCAGTGACTGGTGATGTGTAATGGCGTGAACTGAGAGATTACATTTTAGGATTTTGTTCATAATGGTAATTTGCTTGAGGGATACAATGGAAGTTAAAAAAAAATATAGATAATGGTGTGAACTAAGAGAAATGATGATGTGTAAATAAAATTACATGAGGTACCGGCATTAGGATTGCATTCAAGTTGGATCAAGTGAGTAGTTGGTTTCAAACATGATATGAAAATTTAAGAAGTTCTAAAAATATAGTCAAATTTGATTGGTTTATCTTTCATACCAATCTAAAATGAATATTAATCAAGTTGAACTGGAATAATTTATTTATATATATAATTTTATTGCGTCGAGCTCAGAACATTAATAAATTTCAAAATAAAATTATAGTTAATTTATGTAAAAACAGTTGATTCCAAACAAGCTGACTTCGAAAAAATTAATTTACTTTGGAGATTAGCATTTTAGATTCATGCCCATCATTTTCCTTCAAAAAATTCAACAAATATATATATAAAAAAAATGCTCCTCACTTTCTTCAAATAAGAGATCAGATCGAAAAATCTTCGTCCAATAGTGTTTTCAACGAAAGTTAAATCACTTGTGGCATTGAAGCCTTCCTCACTCTTGAGCTTTTTCAAAATTTGAAATGTTTATAGGAGTAATTGAGAGACTAATTTCATTTTGATGAATTTAAATGTTAGTACTTATTAGGGCTGGGCATAGGGTCATCCGACCCGTCCAAACCGCCCTACCCGATCCGAACCGCGCATGTATGGGCAGTTTCGCAAACACATTAGGGTAGGGTGCGGTTTGGATTTTATCTAATTTTCGGGTTGCGAGTTTGACCCGCACCCGCCCAACCCGCCCGCATAAAACTCTTTTTTATTTTTTTATTTTTTTTTAATCTGACCGTTCAAAAAAACCCCTTTTTTTTTTCTTCAAATATGATCGTTCAAAAAAAAAAAAAAACCCCTAATCAAACTCACTCACTCTATCTTCTCTGAAAGTTGGATTGGATGATTCGTGATGAAGTTTGATATTTTAGAAATGTTTTTATTTTATTTCATGGACTTGAATTGAATGAAGTTTGGCAACAATTTTTTTTTTAATTGCATTTTGGTTTTGGATGAATGTAAGTTAATGATTTTTTATTTTTTATTTTTTGCATTTTGGATGAATGTAAGTTAATGAAGAATTTTTTATTTTTATTTTTTTTGTATTTGGGTTAGGAATGATGAATGCAGGATTTTTTAATTTGGGTTAGGAATGATAAATGTAGGATGAATGCAAGTTAATGATGAATGTAGATTTTGAATGATTTGTTTAGGTTATGAATTGAGTTGAAAGCAAGTTAATGATGAAGGTAGATTTTGAATGATTTGTTTAGGTTACGAATTGATTTTGTTGTGTTTTTTATTTTATAAGTTTTTTATAAGTTTTAATTCATTAGTTATTAATGTTAAAGCATTTTAGAAAGTGGGATGAAAAATGTCTAAAAGAAATATTGATAAAAAAATGGGGAAAAAAAAGGGTTTAACAAAAAAAATTTGAAAAAAAATTCAATCCGCAAACCGCCCGCAACTGCCCGCTCAACCGCAAACCCTATCCGCACAAACCGCAAACCGCATTGCGGGCGGTTGCGGGTTGACTTTTTCTCAAACCGCATACATGTGGATGGGTCCAAACCGAACCGCAAACTGTTCCAAACCGAACCGCAGACACCCTTAGTACTTATGTAACCCCCCCCCCAAAAAAATAGACATACTACTCCATCACAATATCCTTTAAACATGCAGAATCATAACTTCTCGTGTAATTATCTGACATGCACACATGCGATTCTTTTTTACTTAAAATAGAATTTAACTACTTGTTTCATTACATTTCTTGATTTTACAACATGAAACCAATTGACATAATCGAGTCAAATCATCCTTCAATTATATCCATGATAATGCCTTAGAGGCTACAAATTTCTAAGGCCTTTCCTGGATTACAAGTAAGTGATTTTCTAACCCACACACATATAGTCCTTGGCTTATCAAAAATAAAACAACAAAAGATAAGAGCCTCGTGCTCCCAAAACTATTCTCCACGACTCTACTTTGCCAGGGTCACAACAGTTTTTCCTGTAACAAAATCCACTAAGAGTAAACACAAAGCGCAGTAGAGAATTCTTAACAAAGTATATATATATATATATTTTATACAGTCTCCTGAGACAGATGCACATGCCATGCCATGCTCAAAAAGATAATTTTTCTCTTTTGAAACTCTTGTGTACAATGGCCGTCAAAATATAATTAATCCAATGATATCCATGTAACAACAAAGAGTGGTAAATACGACTCAAGCAAATCGCCAGGGCTAGTGTCTGCAAATAGGCTTATCAAGTACTACCAAATCCTACCTAACCGGCTTCTAACCGAAGGGCTTAGGCACCCACACGCGCATGTTTCTGGCCTTGCATCAAGGACACTCAGGCCAACTTAATTCTCAAACTACACATCCTAACAGGACTTCTCACCATATTTACCTCAAAATCGTTCATCAACAACATTTGTTCCACAAAAACCATTTTTATTTACAACATTTGTTCCACAAAACCATTTTCATTTCAAAAGTGATCTCAACAATGCCAGTTCAAAAGAAAAACAATCAACATGAAATGAAATACCAATGCAATATATGTCTATATTAATGCCTTGAATTTTCTCAAAATTTCTCAATACTTTCTCATTTCTTCCATTGTGATCAAGTTCTACATTTCTACACAATATATATATTCCAAGAGATATAAAAAAAATACACATCATCGAATACATTTCTTTCCTCTTTAAACCAAATAAATTTGAACATGAAAATCATCATTTCCAATCTTTATCTTTTCAAGATAAGTACAATAACATATTATTCACTATTTTCTCAATATCAACTTCTCTCTTACAAGGGATTTCAACAATAGGAATAAATATAACAATTTCCTCATCATTTCTCAAAAATAGATCTCAACAATTCATGATTTCACAAAATCTATGTTTGTTTGTTTGTTTGTTTGTTTTTGTTTTTGTTTTTTTTTTTTTTTTTTTGTTTTACAAAAGAAAAAATTTATGCAATTAGAAACTCCAACTATCATGCAACTCATATTTTTCATCGATACAACTTTTCCTCAAAATTTCCTCAAGCCTAGGGTTTTCAAAAAATTAGGGCTTCCTCATTTAAACAAAATTTTTTGCTCATGAAACCCCCAAAACATTCTCATGGTTCATAAATTAAAAGATTTGAGAAAATTTCTCTTTGAGCAAAACTTAATCTCATAAAAATCAAATCCTAATTCAACACACTCCAAACAATATCAAAATAATCATAGACTTGCAAATATATATATATATATAACTCAAAGAAAATTCATCCCTCAAAGCAAGAAGAGGAGAAGGAGCACGACTCAAGAAGAACTCTTCACGAAATCAAAATCCAATCAGTTAAAATGTTGATCTTTTCTCGTTCTTCATCTTTAATACAAGATCTATGGCGGATTCTTGGTGAAAAATAGACGAAATCAAGGTTTGGAGGTCTAGGATTTGAGGTATGGAGGAGAGGGAGAGAAGAGGGGAAGAAAAATTGAAGAGTGTAGGCCAAAAAGTGACTTTAAAGTGCCAGATTTCAAATAGACCACTCGAGCGATCAAAGTTTAGCTTGAGTGGTGAAAGAAAGCTCTCAAAATCTTTGAAATTTGTGCAGACCGCTGGAGCGGTCAAAAGTTCGCTTGAGCAGACTTGCTTCCAACATAGGTACTTAAATTTCAAACGGGCATAACTCCTTCATCTGGATTCCATTTTGGGTCGTTCTTGTGTCTAAATCGAATCCCTAGAAACAAGCTTTTCAATGGCTCTATCCTTACATCCAGATTCAAAGTGTGGAAAGAGAAAAAGGTAAAAGAGTGAAGACTACTCATAGGACAATTATCCGAATTAATGTTTTTGGTTCAATCCTACTTCACAATTATGATATCACCTCAATCAATA